GCGCAGATCACACAGACTGCGAGGCTTTTTGGGGCTGTCAGGGGACTGGGAGGGTTACGGGATGAGAGGATGGGGGTGGGTGGGATGGAGACAGAAGGGCCTGCCCAGAAAAACACCAGGGGCAGGAAATACAGTTTTTATGGCCGTTTTCACACACGCTGCGCTCGATTTACGCACGCGAGTTTCAGCAGAACAGAAGATGGGAGGAAAACACAAGGAGCAGGAAAATAAACACTACAGGGGTGTGAACACAGAGACACGCGGGCAAACTGTCGTTGCTGTTTCGACCTTCGGGGTTTATATTTAGGGAAATCAATTAAAACACAGAATAACGTGACATTTCTTCAGATTCAAAGACGAATATGTGACGTGTGTGAGCTCCTTGGTTATAGTGAACCAGCTGCCCCGCGTGCGCCATCGAAATCAAAACAAACTGTGTCGTCACACTCCAACAGCTGCCTTCGTCTCTCCGCGAGCGCGCAAGCGGAGAAGCGGCAGGTGGAGGCGCGTAAAATAAAAAAGAGAAACATCGATAAATAAGGGAGGGGGCTGTCTGTTTACCTGCCTGGTGAAGAGGATGGCGGCGTCGTGGTGGTGCTGGTGGTCGTCGTCCAGCGGGTTCTGCTGGTTCTGCCACTTGCAGAAGCTCTTGAGCGTCGCCGCCGCGTTCTTGGTCACCTCCAATCCCTTCTCCTTGTCGGTCACCGCGGTCACTTTGACCACCGACAGCCGGATGGGGTTCTCGATGCTGGCGTGCCCGTACAGCTTAGAGGCAATGGAGGCCAACGTGAGCAAGTAGTGGTTCAAGTCCTTTCCGTACTTCTTAGTCATGGTCTCGTCCGCCACCAGGAGCAGCTCCACGTACCTGGCGCGAGACACCGACCTCCTGCGCCGTGCGCCCGGCTCCGGGGAGGGTGCCGTGGCGAGCCGGCTCCACCATCTCCGCCCGCGCTCATCTTCGGCTTCCAAAGCGAGCCCCTCGCGTTCCCGTCTACCCTTCCCGCGACCTCTGCGCCGGCGTTTGCGTTTCTTGCGCCCGTCGCGCGTCCCGCAGCTCTCGCGGCCCTCGCTCATCTCCTCGAAGCTGAAACTTTCGCGCGTGAACACGTGGAGCGCGCTCTCCGCATCCTTGTCTTGCAGGGCGCGCACGTCGTGCTCGTGTCCTTTTGCCCTGACGATGGGGGTGACGGTGTAGCGCGCGTCCTTCACTGCGAAGAAGCCCTCGAGACCTCCTCCGCAAAGGTTGAACACGGCCAGGGACTCCGGGTTGGAGTTCACGGTCCCGCGGTACACGCACTCCCTCTGCAGAGGCGCGGGGCTCTGTCCCATCATGGCGAGCACATACTGGGGGCTGAAGTGATGAGACAGCACCGACTCGTCTCGTTCCATGTCCAGCTGAAAGCGGCTCTCATCCAGGTACACCAGGTAGCCAACCCTCCCTCCCCCGTGGTAAATCCGGTCAATAGTCCGCACAACCCCGTCTGTCCTCCGGGCAGGTGTCAGAGGCGAGCCGCTCGCAGGTGGAAGATAGAAACCCTGGAAAGTGGCAAGCCCGGCTTCCAGCTCCAACTCCACGACGCACAGCAGCAGTAGCCGAAACCAGAGCATGCTCCCGGTCAGAGCACCCAGGAGCTGCACCATTGTTCATTCCAACGTGACAAACATCTACGAATCCACTAAAACAAACCTGGACCAGAGGAGAAGACAACTTTGAGTGCTTGTTCCTCCAAAATGCGCATCCTCTCGGTGTCCACAGCTCCCATCCAAAAACACACAGCATTCACCAACAGGCAGGCAAGTAAAACCATGAAGGAAGAAAAAAAAAAAAAACAAGAAAAAGAAAAAAACAGAAAAGGGAAGAAAAAAAGAGCAGCAGAGAGGAACTGTGCGCAGGCTGGAGAGCACCGAGCTGAACTTGGAGAACAAAAACACAAAGTTTGCTCTTAATAGGACCCGGAGAGGAAAAAGTCCTGCCCCCTTTGCGCTCAATCACCATTCCTCCACCCCCCCCCCCCCCCCCCTCCTCTTTTCTCTGTCTCTCGCTCTCTTCCTCAAATCAGAGTAAAGTCAAGTGCTGGAGGAGAGGAGAGGAGGGAAACCGTAACAATGCTGTCACTGGAGGATTTTCTGTTGCCTCAGCAAAGGAATGAGGAGGCTGCTATTATCTTTAAGTCACTCGTGGCTGTGAAGAAATAATGAAAATCTAAAACTTATGCATTCATCAGTTTTAAGTTTTCAACACCAACTTCCAGTTTACATTAAAAACTTCACCCAAAAAACCAAAAAAACCCGAACAAGTTGCTTCTCCCCCCCCCCTTAAAGTGAACTCCGACACCCCTCCATTAAATGCCAGCCTGTTATTTTTAACACTTTTACCACTTTGACTACTTTAATAATTAAAGGCCGGCAGGATTTGAAAGGAGACTTTCAGAAAACTTAAAGCGGAATAGATAATTTATGGCCGCTCCTGAATAAGAACTCTGGGAGTTCACTGTTCCCTGTGTGAGAACATTTAATGCTGTGTGTGTGTGTTTGAGGAGGAAACGGAAGCAATGGAGGGAAATCTGTGAGCGTGCATACAGTAGGTGCTGTATTGCTCCAACTGGTTCTGAGAATGTAAAGGTGGTGGGAGGGGAAAAAAAGTGTGTGTGTGTGTGTGTGACTCTGCAGGTGTGTGGCAGTGCCCGATACTGCCCCAGGAGCTGTCTTGATTATTTATTGTACCTTTTCAGGGGCCTGGTGTGTGTGTGTGGTATTGCAAATGGGATGTCATACTTGTGTGCTGAGAGGGATTTAGCCTCTTGCTGGGGCTGAAGTCACCACGTCTCACTCATGCACAAACAAACATGCTCTCAGAGGGCAGCCAAACAGGAGAGAGGCTTTTCTGAAAAGAAAAGAAAAAAAAAGTCTTCCAAGACACTGCTCATTCGCTGACTCACCTAACAGCTATTACCTTCACACACCAGCGAAGGGGGAGGTCAGTGTGTGTCTGTGTGCTAAGAGGAAGGCCTCTCTTCGTGGATACACTCCCCCCCTCCTACTCTTCTTCCTTCTCTGTGCAGAACTTGAGAACAGATATTACATTTCAACTTTGCTGCGTCGGACGGTGAGAGAGCATGTCAGCCCTCCTAAAGAGCCATAATCCAAAAGCTTTCTGGACAACTGAGCGGTGTGGGCAGTGCTGGCTGGCACGCAGCTGTGTGATGGGGGTGGGGGTCGTGTGGGTGGACAGCGGAAACTCGGCCCAAAATGGGAACACAGTGCACCGTCACCATAAACCCTGGAACACCCCCTGTCAAATCCCGCCATGGTACGATCCACATTTGAACCAAACATCCCACACTGAGGAGCGCTTTACTTTCTAAAACTTGTAAATGACTAACTTAAATATTTAGAGAATAATCACAAATTGTTACAAAGTGTGCAAAGTCGTGTGTTTAGTGGGGGTGGCTGGGTGGGGGACTTGGGCTCGTGACCTCCTCATATCTTTGTTACGGCTCTGCTGCTGAGTGTTAAAGCCTGTGCTATAGAGTCCCACAGACCTGAAGACAGCACCACCACTGCTCAGCGGATCCAATATCAAGCTCAACTTCACGTGCAAATCACCCAGCTGTTATGCAACCCCCCCACCCTTTCTCTCCTCCCTGTCCTCAAGTTTCATCTCGATTCCCCCTCCAAGTGCTGCTACTTTACACCAAGCTGTCAAGAGTATTGCGGCAAAAAGTGTGTGCATGACTATAGGATCTTTGATACAAGCCGAACCCTCAGTGCTCGTGTGGCTGAGAGCTGTCTATTTCCAGTATATCTGCAAGTCAACGTGTCGGAGATGTGACTTTTCCTGTAAGTGCATGGGCAGGGTTTCAGATATCTAGTCCCGGGAAGTAATGTGGCCAAAATGTTTAAATTTTTTAAATACGTGTGATGAAAAAGTGCTGCAGCTGCGAGCTGGTGGCAGCGAGCCTGAGCAGAAATGAACTTTTTCTCCAGCATCTTTCAAAGCATTCAGTGAAACAACGCACAGACACATGCTTTGGCTCGCATCCTTGCAGCGTCCTCCTCTCTTCTTCCCTCCCTCCCTCTTCCTCTCTCCTCTTTTGAATCTCACACACTCAGCCCACTGGATCATTTTTAATCCACATCATGTGAAACAGAGACGTATGCCAAAGCAACCATATGGACTTAAACCCTCCCCCGTTTTCCCTGCACACACACACACACACACACACACAGTTACATAGTAACCCGGATCACATGTGCATTCAGTTTTGCACGTCACCAAAACGAGATGTGTGTGTTTGTGAACCCTTCGTGCTGAGACACGTGTGTGTGGAGGACCAACCCGCTTCCTCTGGTGGCTGCGAGGGGAGGGAATCCAATACAGTTAATTGACAAACCGAGCCTTTTACATAACCGCCGGACTCTGTCTAAGTGCTGCTGTCTGAATTCCTCCCCACCCGCTGCTGCTCTCCCTCCCTCTTTAGTCTCCATGACACCCTCTCCTCCTCCTCCTCACACACACACTCCATCTCTCCTTGACTTCTATCCTTTCACGGATGTTAAACCAGCAATTCGCACCAGGATGAGGAGAACAGCAATCACGGCACTTGTTCCTTTTTCCTCCACCTCTCTCCTCACTTCTTCGCCTCCGCTCGTCTACCCTCCTTGTAGAAGCCAGGTGTGGCCTCAGCATCTGTTATGGCTCCACTGAGGGAGACCGCGACGCCTCCCGGCGACACACCTGCACGCACACACACGGCTTGTCACACGAACTGAAATAAACAGTCGACACAAACGCTCATATCCACAATGTTTATATATATATATATATATATATATATATATTAATATATAGTCATTTAGAAAAGAAAATAGCAGTACAGATGGAGGATTTCAAAATAAAGAGGCACATGCATACACTTGTAAACAGAGATGATGACACACTTGGATCAATCTGAAGTCAATCAGAAAGACATCCAGGTTTGAATGACAACAGTTTCAAGTTTCCACAAGGGTCTCTTTATATCTTTGAACATACTGCATTTGAACACATCACAATTGCTCAAGAAGAAGCGTTTCCAGTGAAGAACAGGTTCTGTCCTAAAGTACATTAAGTTACTGGAGACGTCGCCTCCACTAGGCTGAACGGTGATAGAAAAAAACCAGGAGTGAAAGTAGAGTGTAAATAATTAAAACATATTCTTGATTTACATTTCAAGTCCAAACATAAGGAACTGAAGTTGTTCAAATAGGACACATTCCTTCATCGCACTCCCGGTGTTAGTTTTCTATGTTGTAAACGTATCTACCATTTACACGCTGTCTTCAAAGAGTCTACACATCACTACTGCGTTCACACGTTAGAGCTGCACAGAAAATCACAATGAAGAGGTCGAACAACTAAAAACATTTCAACTCAAAAGTGATGCACGAAATTAAAAAATAAAGTCAGATATATTTTTCTGACAAAACGGTCGCAGCAGCAGTACTGCAGTACTGCATGCTGGCTGTATGCATGTTTCCCTACAGTGCACAGCTGTCTAAATAATGCCTCAAATCTTTATAAAAACTGCACAGTTGCACGAAGTAACAAAAAAAAAACCCAAAACAAAAACAACAGTAATTAACTTTTTAACAACAAAGACGTGTGATGGATGAAAACCGATTGTTGCACTTGATCTCAAGCACCTGTGCGTTGGCAACAATAAAAAGGACTAGACTGAATGTCTTCTCTACTTGGTCTGAGGGTAAAACGTGTTATGATCCATTCAGATGCCATGATATTGCCATCAGAGAGGGTGAAGTATGAGAAAAAAATAAAAACCCATCCCTATAAATTACTGCATAACACGCCTGACTCATGGAGTCATTTCAGTTTATACCTTCACCCCAATGAATCGATGCACTAATGGACTCCAAAGCAAAGCAGCCATGCTAACGCAAACGGTAATCTCTCAGGCTCTCATAGAGAGTATAGCTCTATGTATGTATGACTGCTGGCAAATAAAGGGAACATTAGTCCTGCGCGCAGACAGGCAGCAGAAGCTGTAATTATATGGTCCTTAATTACATGAATAAACTGAGACAACAGAAAAAAAAGCAGATAAAGAGATAACATGATTCAAAGCCAGAAGGGTGTGCTGTTTTACAATAACCAGCTCTGGCAGGCAGGGTGTGGGTCTGGTGTAAAAGATTAAACAAACTGTGTCCCAGTTCAGGGCTGGACCCTCTGTAGAAAGCTCCAACCTGAAGAAACTATTCCAATAGCAGCGAGATGGTGCATTCAGGTAGGTCTTGTTTAGATTTGTTTACTTTAACTGAGTTTTCACTAAACTAATTCAAAATAACCTTCTAAAGTTAAATATGTGGAAAATATATCAGCTTTATCATTTAAATGCTCCTGTAGATGAAGGCTGTTGTAGATGATGTGGATGTCCCATAATTGAAGGATCACCTTTTGATTACAACATATTTAGTCAGCAAGTACAGACTGATGAGGATCCAGCCCCTCTGTTGGTATCCAGCAGCATTAGCTCTAAAGTTGACCCTCCGGCCTGACACACCCGACTGACCGAGCAGCAGCCACTGTTACATTGTTGTTAAGTGTCTGTCGGGTCGTCTTGTCCTAGATGATTTCTTTTAACGGTGCCTTTGACTTCTCAGTGAGAGGCAGACTGGGGCTGGAGGGGATCGCTGACTGGTTGGAGAGGTGGTGGAAGGTCAGTGACGGGGTTTCAACGGGGCTGCACAGGATTTGGAAGCGCTGCGGGATAGAAAGGTTGCAGTTAGTTAACCGTGGATCAGCGTCATTAAAGGCACAAGACAGTTTCACATCCAACAGCAGAAAAAACACATTGTATCACCTGCGTCAGGGTTCCCGGGGTAGTGACCAGGGCGTAGATGGCCCAGATGGGAAGCAGAGAAACGGATGAGAGGGTCAGGATCCAGCCCAGCGTTGTGGCCCATACTGGAGCCACCAGTCCTTTCCCCAGGCTCAGTGGTGACCAGCGCACCAGGGAAAATATAAATGTGGCCTGAAGAGGGGAGAAAGGAGGACGGGGTAAATACTAAAGGTCTAGGCTTAGACATTTTAGGCCAAAAATGGTACATCAGTGTTTCCCAGTTAAACAGCAGCAGCGATAAATACCCTCCCTGAGAGCCCTTTAATAGCAGCTGGATGCAGACGAACAGGTGGCTATTTACTCATTCGCTGTTATGCGGTCGATGAGATGTCTCCTAATGCTCTCAATAAATATGAGACCAGGAAAGAGTCTGGCTCTGTCCAAAGGCAGTAAAACACCTCTGCTGCACAATAAAAACATGCAGTACCTCTCCCAGATTTTCATCTGTGCAAAACGTGTTTGAATTTAAATAGTTGCTGATTATATTTTTATACTAAATTACAACTACGTGGACAAAAACAAAGAAACCCCAACGACCCTGGGAAAGGGCGTAAAATACGAATCAAACCAGAACGCAGTGATTTCCAAAACGCTGAAGGCCTATATTTAACCTAACAAGTGTAGAAACAAAGAAGTTTCTCAACATAAGATTTCAAAGAACAAACAGATTATCATTAAATGACTCAAGGCTGAAAACCAATGATCTTTATGGTTTAAGGCAGTGCTGCGTTTAAAAAAAAGACACAATTCTGTAGTGGAAATCATTTCATGGGCTTAGAAATACTTGAAAATTGCAAGTTAAACCTCAGAAAGTATCTAGAAACCCTCACAACCAAACAACAACAAAACAATTCTATAAACAAGAGAGGCGATGCTGCCGTCTTTGGGCCACAGCTGATTTAAGGATGGTCTGACTAAATAAGACTGGAACTTCTTTTTGGAAAGCACTGACTCTGCATCCTAAAGAGGACAAACATTCATTGTTTTCAGAGCACGATTCAAACCTCAGCATGTAAGATGTTATCGAGCGCATTACTGAGCACAGAATGGGTGATTTAAATGGGACCATTAATGCTGCTAGTGCATAAACAATCATGTGAAAAGAGTTTTCACAGGACTCTATGTGGTCACGCGGAAAACTAAGCACACCCTTACTGCATCCATAGGAATTAACAGGGAAGGTAGCAGCCGAGTGCAAACCACAAGACTTCTGGAACAATGTCCTTTGGACAGAGGAGACCAAAGTGGAGACATTTGACTATGATGCACAGCAGGAGAAATACAGCATATCAGCACATAACAACTGTCAAGCACGGTGGTGGAGGGGTGATGATTTGGGCTTGACAAGACTGGACTCCTTGCAGTGATCGAGTTGATCATGAACTTATATAACAAAATATTCTAAACTCAAATTACAGGCTCTCTGTTTAACCCTTTAAGACCTACCGTAGAAGCAAGTCCGCCAGAGCTTATATTATATTTTTACATGCTGTGGAGCCATTTTTGGGAGCATTTCAAGTTGCTATACATCAATACAACCACTATAGTCCAAAGTTTAATAATATGTCTGCATTAAGTGCATAGTAATTACATAAATTGCAAAAAAGTGCAATAAACTACAAAAAAATTGAAAATCGTTTTTGTT